AAGTATGTCGAATAAAGAGAATAAAATACTAAAGAGGACTGACAAATGGAGGGGAAGAAAAAATGTTATATATATATATGAACTATGAAAACAACAAGAGAAGACAAGTTGTTGAGCAAGAAAGAGAATGAAGAAGAAAAATACTATGACGGATATATAAAAAGGAATGCTGGAGAAAGAGATAGAGAGCAGTGAATTAAGAGGAGATTTTCTAATATAGGAATATATAACAATCCTGAGGGAATCAGTAATATGTATAAATTTGGGGAGAGAAAGACAAAACAGTGATATAGAAATAAAGCACAGAAACGAAGAGATAAATTACAATGTTAGTGAGAGAAAACGATGATATAAAGGGAGTATATGTAAAAAAAGGCATGAAATAGAAAAATCAAATATTTTTATTGAAAAAAAACGAATGGACACAGAAATACTTAGAAGAAACTGTTACATACATAGTAAAGAAAGGACAGGTACAATAGCGATGATGGTAAGAAAAAGAAAGATTTAAGAAGGAAGCAATTCGGGTGAAAATGTAAAAAGAGTAGTAAAGTAAGAAATAATACAACGGAAGTGGAAAAGATAGGCAAATAAAAAGTCAATAGAATAGAGAAAACTAATTACATGTAAGTAGGAATGAAAATTCATAGAGAAAAAAAAAATGTAGGATAGATACGTAAAAAGTGTGAGAGAGAAAGAAACAGATAGAAGAAGCTAGGTAATGATAGAAATAGGCAATGACAAGGGAAAAACCGAAAATAACAACAGTGACAAAGTGATGAAAGATACGGGTACATGTAGAGAGAGAGAATTGCAGAAAAAGATGCAAATATAGATATCGTTCACGTATATTAAAAAAAAAGAACCCGTACAAGGAGCGGCAAAAACAATTCGTTTGAAATAGATAATAAAAAAGTTAAACACAGATGCAAGATGAGGAGTGGATAGTAACAATCAATAAAACTAATGATATAAGATGATATTACAAAAAAACATTGCAGTTGGAAAAATGGAGTAAGGGAAGTCAGAAAATATTTTATACTTTTGTAAAACAGAGCATAGATGAAACAATTTTGAAAACATGAATCCTCCGGGTCTAAGCAAACTAATTGCACTCTTGTGTACTTAAGTGGAATAACGTTGATAATGACAGCACCACCTGACACCTATTGATGCATGGATATTAGGATAAACCTTGCGCGTACTTTTATGAACAGGTTTTAATGGCAGTTTTCTTGCCTCTAGCATAGACGTTCGAGAAGTCAGACCTGTTCGGTTTCTCCAATTGATTTCTACTGTGGTTGGTAATTTATAATAATATTAAAAACTTGAAATGGTTAAACAACTGCGAAATATTCAACAGCATTTTAGTAATTTTACTTTCTTTAGGGTGATATGAAGAGAAAGAGGTTGGATAAGAAATCTTGTGTTTATAAGACGCGTTTTGTTAAACAGCAGTAGTGAAAATGTCGAGGAAAATGTCGAGGTTTTAAGAATTACAAATGCTAGTGGTTCTAGCATTACTGCTTTTCTGAGGAATGGATTGTGGTTTCTTTCCTTTAAAGCCTTATTCCACCACCCCCACCCCCAGTGGCACAGCGGTATGTCTGCGGACTTACAACCCTAGAAACCGGATTTCGATACCCGTGGTGGGCAGAGCACAGATAGCCCATTGTGTGGCTTTGTGCATAACTACAAACAAACAATCCCTTATTTCTGTTCTTTTATTGATACTTTTATGATGTAAATTAATTAATTCAGATTCTATAGGCCCTAGTTTTAATTAATATTATTGTATCATATAAATATTACTTTATATATATATTGATTTTGGCAAGATTTTCGTGAGAAAGGATGGGGAGCACCTTTATTAAGATTAACTTTCTAAGCAGCACAATGTTTCCTCAACTTTGTAAATGCTAAATATTCAAAACAAAAAATAACATAACTTGTATACCTCACCCCTGACCGCTCAGTCAGAGGGTTTTGATATTTACGGTGGGCAAAGCACAGATAGCTCATTGTATAGCTTCGTGCTTCGAACAAGCATACCTTATTTATTGGTTTAAGTAATGTATCCATGATGTGTGGAAAAAAATATCTTAATGAATGATCTTTTTTAATAATTACTAAAGGCGCTTGATCAGAAAGTGTCCATATTAGTTTAATACTTTATTTAATATACTGAGCACATAATGTACCGGTCTGAAATCATAGGTTTAATATATAAACTGTGGGTTCATAACGTACCCGTGTTAATAATCATAGATTTAATGTCTAAACTGTGGGTTCATAACATATACGTGCTAGCAATAGTAGATTTAATGTATCAGATATGTGTACATAACGTACCTGTGCTGGTAATCATAGCTTAAATATGTATGTTAAAAATGAGCCAGAGAAAATCAAATATCCATTGCTCGTGAGAAGAAAATGTACGAAAAAATAAAGGGAAATTCATAAAATACACGCAATATTTTAAATATAATCGCAGATAGTAACGAATTTTGCTTATCAGCAGAACAACCAGATAATTTACAATTTATCCCTCTGATTGAAAGACCTTATGTAAGGTTATGCAGTGATTGAAATTATTTGAAGGCCGTACAGTGTCTGTTTCGAGTACCTACACATGAAAAGTGCACACTGTTGTGCTTTACTATGACATTACTTCAGGTAACTGAACAGGTTTCGTATGTTTAAGATTAATGTAACAATTATAATTCGCGACGTTATTTATCTTGTGCAACTTTTAAATTGAGATCTTGTGGTATTTAATGGTGTTAAGTGTTTATTTCAAATCTATTAGTTACGAACGTTGTCTACGAAGAAAAATTGAACGTAAACCTTTACTTCTGACACCTATGTATAATTATTTTATGGATTCGACCTACTTAGTCTTTCTATTTTTAAAATTATTGCTGTTTCCGTTTTTTCCTTTGCCTAGCATAATGAAAAAGTTGGTATTAAAAAGCTTATCACTATGCAGTTACCTTATAAAAATGCAGAACCTAAGCCTTTCAATATAGACCAAACCGAGTTCACCCATGAAATAGCATTGTTCATTCGTAGCGGGCCGTTTTAAGCTGCACATCAGGTAATCACATGATGAAATATTCATTTACTTCCTAACGTTATTGCTATTGGGACCAGCCCAAAGTATATATATACGACCTAATCGGAATGAATATATAACTTCTAGCGTTTTTACCGTAAAATCCAACTGACTGTAACTCATGAAGTAAGTGGCTTGCAGTTCACGGATGACCACCAAACGGTAGCCACGGAAGAGCTATGGCTCAGAACAGGAAATTAGAGCCCTAGTGCTTCGTGAACGACAAAAGGAAATATTTCTTTTGGGTTTACTAATCTCATGTTATACGTCCATTTCATCATCCTTTTTAGTTGGTTTCAGGGGGGTTGTCAGTGGTGATGATGACGTATCGATTTTTTTTTGTACATAAAAATTTTGTTTGATATTTGTTTCGGCCTTTTCTTTGCTATAAAAATTATTCTATAACCATTTGAGCAGCGCGCATTAGAATAATTTCTCAAATAAAATACAAAAATAAATTCAAATTCACATCCCAAACAAAGAAATGCACAATTTTATACATCCAAAACACAAAGCATGATCTCGGATAAATTTATCATATAATAATGAAAATGTGTGTCTTTTTCTTCGGTGTTTTTCTTTATGTTAAAAACATGTAAAATGATCACGTGATAAGGTTTCTTTATTATCTAAGGCATGACATATTTAGGGCACTTGACTCGCAATCTACGGGTCGCGTGTTCGAAACCCGTAACCGAGCATGCTCGCCCCTTTCAGCCGTGGGGCCGTTATAATGTGACGGCCAATCTCACTTTTCGTTAGTAAAGAGTAGTCCAAGAGGTGGCGGTGGATGATTTTGGCTAATTACCTTCCCTTTAGTCTGTCTTCAAAATTAGGGACAACTAGCGCAGATATCCCTCGAGCAGCCTTGAGTGAAATTAAACAAAATAGTAAACAAATAAATTCACTAGCTAATTGTTGTAGCAGACAGTGTTCAGAAAAAAGTAATAATTGATATTTGTCTCATCGAGAAGTAAACTCTAAGCTGATACCAGTGTACAGTTAGAGCAAAAATAAAATGAAAAATTTGCAGGAGAAAATTGTTAACTATCTTCTTTTCTTGCAAAATAAGATAATCACTAAATTATAACTTTACAGAAAGATGGTGATTTAATCACAACCCTCTTAATAACGCGAATGCTTTAAAAAAGACTAAACATAGTTAAGACCTATTTGCAAGTTTAAATATTTATTCGCGTATGCACACCATCATGCAGCAGAGGTATATCAATGATCGTATTCAAAATGTGCGAAATTTACTGAGGTATATCGAGGATCGTGCTCAAAATGTACGAAATTTACGGAAATTAATACTAAGAAGTAAAATATTTGAGAAAATGTTGTTCGATTTCTCCTTACCACACGTAAACCCAGCCGTATCTTGTTTAAAAAAATAAAAACAAACAATAGCAGCAGAACGTCTTATAGCCAGAGTTCATGATATTTTATACTGATATCACGTGCTAGTTTTACGCGGCATTTACACTTACTTTGGTATCTAAAATTTTTTTATGTTAAAAGGCGGAAAGATCAGAGATGCTGACCATACATCTGGGTCCTGACGACAGAGATTAAATTTATCCACATCTGTCATGTCCGATTCATTCGCCAAAGAAAAAAATAGTCGAAATTTCACCTCGGCCGAGCAGTTGGCGTGACAAGACTGTGAATCTCAGGCTCATCGTTTTTTATCGATATCTCCTCTTAGCTGGGTGTAACCCAGTAGTTAGCGTGTCAAGACTGTGAATCTCAGGGTCATCGTTTTTTATCGATATCTCCTCTTAGCTGGGTGTGACCTAGTAGTTAACGTGCCAAGACTGTGAATCCGAGGATTAACGTTCGCGTCCCATTGCCGGAAGAACGCATTCTGCACTTTGAGATCGCGAAAGTATTGTTTTATACCAGATTTGTTTTCTTATGTGAATCAGTCAACTTTTCAGTTTCTTCTGACTAAAAAAATATGTACTTGTTTTCTGAAAAATGGCCAGTGACTTCGGTTAAGCGTAAAGATGACGATAATTTCACCTGGTGATGACACGTTAACTTGTCCAAAACTTTGTGTGACATACTTTTATCTATTTATAATGTTTTTAACCATTTTAAAACTATTTTATTGTTTTTGCCTATTTTCTCATGTTTGAATATTTGAAGTAATTTTTCTCCACCTAAGGCTAATTTGAAAGTCGTTATTAAATCATTTGTCGAATCTCGTCGTCTGTGAAAGAAATGCATTGCTAATTTATTTTAACAATATGAAAAACAAATTGTAGAGTTTCATATATGAAAAATGGTATATGGTCTAAAATTAATTTTTTTCAATGTCAGTCAGTAGGCTTTTCAATTCGTTAAAGAATATAAGAGACTTTTAAAATGACAAGCTACAGTTGTCTGTCTACGGTGGGACAGCGGTAAATTTAGGGATTTACAACGCTAAAACCCGGGGTTAGATTCCCCTGCGGTGGACACAACAGTTAGCCCAATGTAGCTTTTGTCTAAAAACAAACAAAAAATACAGTTGTTTTTAGTAGCGTGTGTCTCGCTATATCAGGATTTGTTCCTAAATATAAGTTCAATACCATTGACTTAATTTGTTTTGAATTTCGCGCAAAGCTACACGAGGGCTATCTGCGCTAGCCGTCCCTAATTTAGCAGTGTAAGCCTAGAGGGAAGGCAGCTAGTCATCACCACCCACCGCCAACTCTTGGGCTACTCTTTTACCAACGAATAGTGGGATGGACCGTCACATTATAACGCCCCCACGGCTGAAAGGGCGAGAATGTTTGGTGGGACGGGGATTCGAACCCGCGACCCTCAGATGGCGAGTCGAGTGCTCTAACCACCTGGCCATGCCGGGCCTCCCACCATTGACTTACAAATAATAATACACAGATAGTTCATTATATAGCTTCGTGCTTAGCAACGAACAAGCATACCTTATTTATTGGTTTAAGTAATGTATCCATGATGTGTGGAAAAAAATAACTTAATGAATGATATTTTTTATTAATTACTAAAGGCGCTTGATCAGAAAATATCCATATTAGTTTAATACTTTATTTAATAAATTGTGAGTTTATAATGTACCAGTGCTGGCAGTTATAGATTTAACGTATAAACTGTGGGTTCATAACGGACCCGTGCTAACAATCAGATTTCATGTGTAAACTGCAGGTTCATAAGGTACCCATGAGTATTTGGACGATAATACATGTAAGAATGTTAATGATTTAAATAACAAAACTTTCGTCTGCTTTAATGCAAAGCTGCACAATCAGCCACCTCCACTCTGTTCTCCGCAAGGGATATCGAATCCTGAATTCTAGCATTATAAGCCCTGAAACTGAGCTCCGAGTAAGCGCGGAAGGTATTCCAGGTGACTGTGGTAATTACTTCAATCAGGTTTGAAGACGGAAAAAGCATAAGCTTGAAGGCTTCTTTTGAAACTACATTTGAATGAAAATGTTTTATAAAACTTTTATATAAAGCGTATTTTAAAAATTTGACCATAATTTGCTCAAACCTTTCCGTAAATAAATAATTTATTATTTCACTAACTAATAAAAAAAGAGTCATGAAAATGCTTCGAAGCTATAGAATGTTTCCGTAAGCTAGTATTAGGCATTATACCTGTTCACTCATAGAAACATAGACACTATCCGTTTTAGAAACCTTAAATGCCAGCATAAGCATTGAGTTTTAATGTTTCCATACCAGTTCGAACTCAGGAAGGCTGAGCAAGCACAACAAAACAAATTTACATCAAGCGATTCAAGTTACTGCCTAGCAGCGCACACAAAGAATGAAAGACTTTAGTTTTAGAACAAAGCCACATTGGTCTATCTAGTGTGTCCACCGCAGGAAATATAATCATGGATTTTGTAAACTTACCGCTGTACCTTATATCATTTTCTAGTAGCCATCTTATGAAAAATAAAAAAAATATTCGGCCTTATCAAAAAATTGTAAAAAATCAGAATGTTCAATCTATTACTGGAATATAGGTTACACCATTTGTTGATATAAATAAAACTCATAGTAAATCGTTTATTCAAAAAAGTATTTTTAAACTTTTGAAATATATTTTTTTAGTGTTGAGTTTATATTTATATCAACATTTTTCTCTTAATTAAATTGATAACTGGTGTATTCATAACTGTGACAATATGTATGAGCCATTTTTAAACAGGAAAATGGAACTTCGAAAATTAGTCTTGTAATTCTAATATGTTTTAACCGTCAGGACTTATGAACTTTAGTGCAAGAAAGACTACTACTCAAAATGTTGTCTAGTTCTTTTAGTTTAAGAGCATTAGTATTCTGTAAACAAGCCATAATGATGAACACTACCATAGAAAGCACTAAATGAATGCAAAACATTGGATTGTATAAATATATTCCACTTCATGAAGCATGTTTCGTATGTCATAAAATTAAACGCTAAATCTGTACATAAATCTTGCTTAGTACTTGATAATGTAGGATAACTTTTTAGCCAGTTTTCTAAGCCTGAGACATTAAAGTATTCTTTCAACCACTAACTTTCAATTTTCTGATAACACAGGCATGCGATGGTTTTATTGTCTTGAAATTTTTACATGTTCTATGGTAATTCCTGTATGGTGAATCCGAAAAGTATATCCATTTTTCTCCATCACTTACCGATTTTTCACAAAACGTCATAACGCAATACATAAAAGATAGACCACAAAACGTAATTTTGAGACTAAAAGACGTACACACAAACACACAAAAGAAAAAAAAAGATGAATGAGAATGAACATTCGTTTGACATCAATGTTTTTCCATTTTCTTCAGTTTGTTCGTATTTTTGTTAACAAACATAATAAAAAATGCTCATTATGGTAAACGATTCCCACCTTCGTTTTATCAAAATATTAAATAAAATGTGTAAAGTCGTATTTGTAATTTGTCTTCTTTTCTAATGATATTTTTAGAGCAGTTATAATCTTGTTAGGTCAAAATGTTACGAGTGAAGAAAGCAGTTTATATCAGAAGTAAACTTCATTAACCAAACCCTCGTTCAGTTACCTCGCTCGAAAACAAAGCTCGATGATGGTGTTAATCTTTTAATTTTAATTGTCTAATACGCATTATTGAGCTACTTCACCTTTCATAACCTTAACTCATAACACAGGCCTGCGAATTTAAACTTCATAAAAGTTGTTTTGGTTTTTATAACGGATTTTCCATAATTCAGCTACGCAGATTTCGGAAATATTCATTCATTTTTTTTAATATATATCACGTAAAGATTTTTCTACGAATCGGGAAGAAAAAAACTTACTTAGATCAAATTATTATTTCGTTTACCACAATAAACATTTTTATTAGTATGTTTGTTAACAAAAATACAAACAAACTGAAGAAAAGAGACAAACATTGATGCCAAACGAATATACAGCCTCATTCATCCGGATTTTGTGTGTGTGTGTGTGTGTGTGTGAAATCTACGTCTTTTAGTCTCAGGTTACGTGTTGTGGTCTTTCTTTTATGTGTTGCATCATGACGTATTGTGAAAATTCTGTACGTGATGGAGAAAAATGGGATTCAGCGTACAGAAATTACTGTAGAACATGTAAAAATGTAAAGACAATAAAACGATCGCAGGCCTGTGTAATTAGCTTCTGAAGAGTTGATTTATGATAAATGTATAAAAACTATTTAATTTGACCCCCAGTGGCACAGCGGTATGTCTGCGGACTTACAACGCTAGAATCCGGGTTTCGATACCAGTAGTGGGCAGAGCACAGATAGCCCACTGAGTAGCTTTGTGCTTAATTACAAACAAAACAAAACAAATCTATTTCATTTCGTATTCTTCGTAGCAAGAAATATAAGACTGAAATACATATATGTATACAAAATAAAATCCGAAATAAACTAACGTGTTATACTTTGTTCGCACTATGTAGGGGTAGTACTAAAGTTTCTATATAGATTTCCGGCATGGGAGATTAATGCCTTTAGCACTATTTGCAAACACAGAACCTTTAAACATTACTATCGTCACTTACTTACATGAAAAACATTATTTTTATTACGACAAAAGATACTGAAGGAAAGCTAAAATACAATTATTGCTATGTCCTAATTTTCTAGTTACATTCTTTCTTAATTTTTTAATCAAGTAACCAAAATTACAAACAACAATGGCTCTCAAGCACAGGGTTTCAAGTTTTCTAAGTACATGTGACTCATCATTGTTTTTCTTATCTTGCTTTTTTGTTTCCTTTTTATATATGTCACATTTAAATCAAGATACATTTGATATAATATATACACTGAGTGGTCACAAGTAAATAGACACCTAATTTTTCGTCATTTAACTGATCTGTGCTAACTAATTTGTGTTCACAGAGCACTATATAAATGAAAATGGTCCCACACTT